CCGCCCCACCTCGGTAGCAGCAGAGAGACATCTACCAACAGTACAGCCCCGACTTCGGCTCCTCCCCCTCCGACTACTACATGCCGTCCGGCTCCCAGATGCCCAGTAACTCCGAGTCCGAGCCCGCCCCGCAGATCTCTCAGATCGACTCTCTCAGGCTGTCTCTCTACAACCTCAGCCTCTTCCAGATTCAGGTGAGATGACACACTGGCGTGGGTGGCTGGCTGGCTGACGGTTGCTCTGAAGTGGCTTGTTCTTTTTTTCCCTATTAAACATAATATAATATGTACTAATCTTTCTTCCTTTGCGGGTGGTTGGCAGAAGCTCTGATGGAGTTGTCTCCTTCTTTCTTATCAAACTTAATTATATTATTGTCATTATCTCTTTTCTTATTCTATTTTTGTTTTGTTTTCATGTTCTTGTTACTCTTTTTTGTGTTGCTCTCAAGTAAAATCTCTGATCTTCGGAAAATATATGACCTAATTGCGAAGCAAAGGCTCATAGCTTTTACTAAAACTTCAACTGAACTTGCTGACAATGTTCACTTTTGTTCGTCTTTTATATTTTTATCAGGTCCTGATTTGGTGCCGGATATTCGAATGTTACATACAAAATGTTGACGTCAACATGAAAGTAATTGTCTTTCTATGGCCTATTTTGTCTAACCTTGGCACATCTAAAACTTGGTGATCAGATCAATGAATTGCATCTATAATCCTAGAATCTCTATGTGTAACAGTTACTTGTCATACTAAGTATGCACGTAATACGCTATTGGACACTAACATACGCACGTTTTTCTACTAATCAGATGGCGTCAGTCTCATATAAATGGGCAAGGGATAAAAAAAGACATGGATGATCACTTCTTCCCTGAGTGTGCTTCTGTGACGTCCAGTTGGTCTACCTCCTCTTCTTTTTCGAGCTGGTCTCCAATATCATTTCTGAGAGAGAAAATTATTTTGCAAAATATTAATGTTTTCCAGGTGATCCAGCAGCTCGACCATATCCTCTACAAGGACGAGGACGTTGATGTGAACACCCTCATGTCCTTGATCCAGGAATCCCGCCAAAACATCACCTACCTGGACAGCTTCCTCAAGGTCATGCCCGTCTTCGACGAGGTGGTCGTTGAGAATGTCTTGCTGGTACGTGTCACGTGACGGGGTTGCTAGTCTGGTGCTTAAATAATTATAATGATAGTGATAGTGATAATGATAATGAAAGTGATAATGATAATGATGATGATATTGATAGTGATTGTGATAATGAGAATAATAATGATAAGAATAATGATCGGCTTGTACTAAAGAAAAAGAAGAAGGACCACATTACTCCAATGTTAAGAACGTTGCATTGGTTTCTCGTGTCAGCTAGAATGTCATATAAA